GCGGCTCCATGAGCGGCTCCATGAGCGGCTCCATGAGCGGCTCCATGAGCGGCTCCATGAGCGGCTCCATGAGCGGCTCCATGAGCGGCTCCATGGGCAGCTCCATGGACAGCTCCATGGACAGCTCCATGGACAGCTCCATGAGCAGCTCTATGAGCAGCTCCAGAAGCAGCTTCAAGAGCAGCGGCTTCATGAGCAGCGGCTCTGGCTCCAGGAGCAGCTCCAGAAGCGGCTTCATGAGCAGCGGCTCTGGCTCCAGGAGCCAGCTCCAGCAGCGGCTCGAGCAGCGCAGCGCCCCGAGGCAGTCGGGGCGGGGAGACATTGTACGACTTACAGTAAAGCACTGCAGCAGGTCTACCCCGCCCCGCTGTCCGGAGCGGTACACTGCAAAGTGGGAGGGCTCGTCCTCAGGTCGGGGGCAGAGGCACGATGAGCGGTGCGGTGGGTGGCCAGAGGGCACCCATGCAGGGCACCCGAGTCTTAATGGAGGGCACCCACTTTTCTACATGCCAGTCGCTCCCACACCTCGTCCTCGGCAGCCCCCCCCCCCCTACTCTTCACCACCGCACAAGTGGCCGCGGCCGCCGACACCGTCAGTACCACATAGTGTCGTCGTCTCTACACGACGATACGTACTTGCAGCCCCTACGCTACTGGTAACTCGCCCCCTGCTATGCCCGCGCGTTGCTTGAATCGGCGCACCTTTGTCCAAACACTCAGGTCCTGCCTCTGGTGTGTCGCACCACCTACGTGTCGATATCACCTTATCACGGAGGAGTGCGAATCATCGGGCCGCGGGGCGGGGCGGGGAGGGGCGGGGCGGGGTTGCGTGGGTGTTCGCGGCCGGCGCATGGTGTGGCACTGGTGTGGCGCCGCGGCCCAGCAGCTGAGCCTAGTCTCCCAGCCCGGGTAGACTTTAGTCGAGGGCCCTTCAACAACATCCACGGCCGCACCTCCTCCTCCTCCCCGCCAACCCCACCTCGCCGCCACAGCATGAAGGAGAAGGACCCCCGAGTCGAGTGCCAGCGAGCGATGAACCAGCAATCGCATCGGGGCCGGGCGCGGCGCAGGCAGCAGGGCCGGGCGCGTATACACGAGCATGACGGCCAGATCGGATTGGACGGACAGACAGACAGACAGAGACACGGACGGGCGAGCATGCAGGAGGCAAACAGGGCCCGGTCCGTGCGGCCGGCGAGGAGAGCAGGCGCGGCCATCATGACGTGACGGCCAATTATTATCATTACAGCAAAGCGCGCTCGGAGCCGCCCCGCCCCGCCTCGCCCCGCCCCGCCCCCGCAGTGCGGGGGACGCTGCCCAGCCCAGGGCGTCCGCGCCACGCCCCGCCGCGCCGCCACGGAACGCCCGGCCCGGCCCCCGGCCCCAGCACGACGGCGGCCCTCGCGCGGCCTCCGAGGCGCAGCATCAGCAGCAGCCGCGGGTCCGAGAAGAAGACCAAGTTAACCATCAGGCGGGTCCTGTAATACTTACTGGTGGTACTGCTGCTGGAGGAAGTTGAACTCCTCCTTGATCCGCTCGCACGTGTCCGCCACGGTGAACTTGAGCTGCCCCGGCGGCGGCCCCTGCAACACAAAAGAGTCATGAGGTGGGTTTGCAATGCCCCGCTGATCTGGTGGGGCGGGGTATGGTGGGCCCGCCACCAGCTCCGCTCCCCACTTCTTCGCCATCAGGAATTCATCTCAGTAGTGGTAGTCCCGCCCCGCCCCGCGCCGCACCCGCTGAGCTTTCAGGAGCGAGGCACCGCGCCGGCGGACGCACCGCGCCGCACCAGCGGTGCTTCGTGGGAAATGGGACCCGAGCAGCAGTGGCGGTCGCCGCCGCGCCGCGCTACGCCTCGCGGCCGGACTGAGTGAGAAACCGCAGGAAAAGTTTCCTCGTTTTGCGTCAAGATCGCTTTGCCTCGTGCCGGTTGCGGTTTAAGCAGAGTGGGCGCGGGGGGATTTGCACGCGCACCCACCCTTACAGAGCAAAACGCGCGGGCGTCGTACTCGCGTGTTTTGCGCCGCGCAATAACCACGAAATAACAGGGCGCGCGAGAAAAACGTGAAAATGGAAAGATGGAAAAAGGTGTACAAGAATATAAATAATCAAGCAAACGGAGGGGAGGGCGGTTATACTTTTCAACCCCCTATTCGCAGAGGAAAAGCAGACTATGACGGAAAGAGAGAGAGAAAGACACAGGCGCACAGTGAATGTGCAGCCAGAGAGAAGGGTGGGCAGAAATAAGGAAGCAAAACAAGGAGGAGAGACGAGAGCGGGGGCGGTGAAAGGAGAGCTGAGCAGAGAGCTGAGAGGAAGGGACGGGAAGCATTGACAGAAACATCCTCATTATAAACACCCCCTTCCTTCCTGCCACCCCACCCCCCACAGGACCATGGCGCCGCGCCACGCCACGCCCCTTGCGCGTTGATAAACGCTCCTCCCTCTCTCTCCTTCCGTCAGTCGGTCTCCCGGTCTCCCTCTCGCAAGTTGTGCAGTGCGACAAACCTTACCAGCCGCCCGCGGGGCTCTGCTTACAACGACATAGACGAGGAGGTGGTATGGAGAAGGAGGAGGAGGTGGTGGTGGTGAAGGAGGAGGTGGTGGTGGTGGTGGTGAAGGAGGAGGTGGTGGTGGTGGTGGTGGTGGTGGTGGAGGAGGAGGTGGTGGTGGTGAGGAGGTGGTGGAGGTGGTGATGGTGGAGGTGGTGGTGGTGGTGGTGGTGGTGGTGGTGGAGGAGGTGGTGGTGGAGGAGGTGGTGGTGGTGGTGGTGGTGGTGGTGGTGGAGGAGGTGGTGGTGGAGGAGGTGGTGGTGGTGGTGGAGGAGGTGGTGGTGGAGGAGGTGGTGGTGGTGGTGAAGGAGGTGGTGGTGGTGGTGGTGGTGGTGGTGGTGGTGAAGGAGGTGGTGGTGGTGGTGGTGGTGGTGAAGGAGGTGGTGGTGGTGGAGGAGGGAGGAAGTGGTGAAGGCGGAGGTAGTGGTGGATGTTGGAGCAATAAAGACGGCCCCTCACCCCTCACAGCAGCATGCTGCAGCGGCAGCAGAGCGAAGTAAAGAGAGGCGACAAGTGAGGGGGCAGAGGGAGCTAGATGGCCGAGTGTTTCTGTGCACGCGCCGGTGCCTGCACTCACAGCGGGGCCACGCGCTCACACTCACACGCTCCCTCGCGGGCAGGGCAGAGTATAGGCAAAGCCCGCAATGCCCTGTACACACCTCCGCCAGCACTCACAGAGAGATCAACAATTACAGAGTCGGGGAGGAGCAGCGGGCAGAAGTGGAAGGTTCTTCTACAGCTTCGAGCGCGGCCATCGGCAGCAGACGGCAGGTGGGGTGTTGCTGGAGTACTTTCCACCCTTGTTGACGGCGCGCACCGCCGCCGCTGCAGACGTCGTCATCTCAAAACCGCGCGCAACGCTTTTACAATATAGATTTTCCTTGCTTTTATTTTGTTTGCTTACTTTTGTTTAGCCAAGCAGCAGCAGCGTGCAACAGCAGCAGCAGCAACGACGGTAACGACGAACGACAACGAGGAAAAAGTGCGGGGCGCAGTCCTTGAAGAGCGAGGGGTGGGCGCGGCGGCGGCGCCGGGGGGTGAGTCGAGCCGGTAGCGACCTAATGAATCTGGGCTGCGTCAATAATACACGCAGGGGGTGTGGCGTGGCGGAGTGTGGCGGGGCGTGGCGGGGCGTGGCGGCCCGTCCAGCAACAGAAGGGTAACGAAGGACACGCGACGCCCGCGGTCACTCCCGCGCCGCGCGCCCTCACCACCACCCAACCCACTCAGCGAACCCCCGTGTCGTCCCCGTCCTGACCCCGCGGGCCGCGAGCGCAGAGAGGACCACCGCCGCCGCCGCCCAGGACACCCCGCGCGGACACGCACTCGAGCCGCAAGAGCCGCGCTACAAACCCACTCGGAATAATAAGAGGGATAAAAGAATGTCCGGGATTAAAAAGGTAATAACACTGCGCGGCACCGCGCCGTCCTGGCCAGGGACGGCATCGGATGGGAAAATGGAAGGGACGGGGCAGAGACAACGCCGCGAGAGAGAGAGAGAGGGAGAGAGACAGGACAAAATGGAAAAACAACAACAACAAGAGCAGGGCAAAAGAGGTGAGTAAGCGTGCGTGTTTATGAATGTGTGGCATGGGGAGAGGAGAAAAATAATAAAAAGAAGAAACGGACGAAAATAAAATGAAACGAAAAGAGGGAATGGAATGGAGGAATGGAACAGGAACGCGCACAGGGCGGGGGAAGCGTCAGGGGGCGTGGCGGGGCGGGACACAAGAGCAATAATTGTGCCGTGCTCTCCCCGCAGGCATTATCCCCCGCACTGGATTCACGAGCAGATTTCGACGGTAAAGTTCTTTCCGTTCCGTTTACACCGTCTCAAAACTGTATGGGGAACACGATCGTTCTCGTTGTGACTAAAGCGGGTGGATAACTTCCCAAGGTAGGCGACATAGTTGTACACAACACCTTGGCAATAATTGGCCGAAGATCGTTCGATAAAGGGCCTCTATCTTCTTCCAGCAGGGTCCACCGTGAAAGAGAAGAAAATGGTAAGAGGAATGGAGGAGAGAAGGAGAGAAACGGACGGGGAGAGAGGCAAAGAGTGCGAGGCGACGATGAAGATTCGAAGCGAGAGAGAGAGAGACAGAGAGAGAGAGAGGGAGTGGCGGAGGGAGGAGGTGAGGCAAGAGAGGAGAGGTCTGCTCGCGTATAATCAAGTGCGCCCCTGATTGTGCACGTGCGAGCGCGGCGCGGCGCGAGTGAAGGGGAAAGGGAAAAGGGGCGACATCACTACACCTCACTCTTGGGCGTGCGCGTTCTTTCCATTTATCTTTCGTTCCTCCCCCTTTTTTTTCGACGTTTGCTATCGATTTGACACTTTTCGGGGAGGAGGGGCGGCGGGCAGGAGGGGGGTCCCAACCGAAGCCGGAAAGAGGGAAACGGAATGGAGAAAAGGAAAAGAGAGAGAGAGAGGAAGGGGGAGAGAGATAAAGTGAGTAGAGGGGGTGGTTGGAAAGGGGTCGTGGGGAACGGTGACAGGACGATTCCAAAAGGGTGAACAGTTCCCTAGGAGGGAGGGAGGGAGGTGGAGGCGGTGCGCTGTTGTGCTGGACGGCGCCCAAGTAGCGCGCGAGCGGTGCGGTGGTGTCGGGGCGCGGGGGGAAGGAGAGTGACGGGGTGGCGAGGGCCGGGAGCGCTGCGCTGCACCTCCGCGACGAGAGGTCGGCCCCCGCCGCACGCCCCACCAGGATGTTCCCCTCGCCGGCAGTGGGTCTCCTCGCCAGAGGGGGAATGTCCACTGCCCTGCTGGCCCTGCCCGCGCCGTGACGGCAGTGCGGTGAGGCCAGGGTGTGTCCGGGGCGGGGCGGGGTAGGGGGAGGGGGAGGGCCTGGGGCGTACACGCAGGGGGTAATGCGGTTAGGTGGGCGGGGCGGGCGCCGCACCTGAACACCCCCGCCTCGCACGACCCTAAAGCAAATCCAAACAAATTGTCGAGCAAGCGGGAGGGGCGGGCGGGCGGGCGTTTGGGTCGGAAAAGGGGTCGAGTTAGCGGGGGGAGGGGGAGGGTAAAGGGTGAGCATCTGAGGAAGTGGGGGAGGGGGCAAGTGGAGGGAGGGGGAGGCTCCCGATGAACACAACGCGTTCTGTTGACACACTGCTACACACGCACAGGCTGGCACTACCGGAGAGGAGCTATAGAGGGAGAGGCGAGGAGGGGTGGGTGGGAGGGAGGGAGAGAGGGAAAGAGAAGTGGAGAGAGGGGTAGAGGGGAAAAGAGGGGAGGAGAGAGGGGGAGAAAGGGGGTGCTGACGACAAGCCGAGACTCTGGTCCGGCCGGACGGGGCCGCGCGGGGTGTATGGCGGGGGAGGGGCTGTCCCTTGTGTTTACACAGACGCCCCCGCGCGGCCCCGCGGCCCCGCGCGCCGTACAAGGGAGAGGGGCCCGGGGCCCGGGACCCGGGGCTGGTTAGGGGCGGGGCGAGGCGGGGCGACGAAGGGGGAACCGTAGTGGATGGATCTGTCTCTCTTGCCCTCCACCCCGCCCCACCCCACCCCGCCTGCGTTTGGAATCGATCACAGCCAGGGCTGAGCCTTGGCTGAGCTCTACCGAGCCGAGGCCCTCCCCCGTCCCGCCCCGCCCCGCCCCGCGGCTCACAGCGGAAGGAGCGTCCTGGCGACCAAACAGCGACGCTACAGGCAGCCATGATGAGGGCGCGCGGGGGCCCGCCGGCGCGCTGGCCCCCGTCAGGGCACGGCCAGAAAGCAGCGATAACCAGCCCCGCTCCCCGCCGATCAATAGCAGACGTAATCAATCACCAAACAAGCGGTCGACGCGTCGAGCGCCGAGTCAGCGACACCGCGGCCGGGACGGGCTGCCGGGAGGTCGGGACAGTCGCGTCGCGGCCCCGGCCCGCGCGGCGCCGTCGAAAAGCCCGCTTAATATAGCGTTTCACAAACGCAACCAACTCCGCCGGCCCGCGGGTGAGAGTGCGTGCCTAGGGGAGGGGCGCCGAGGGGCTCGGGGGGGCCGCTGACACATGAGTGACGGGATAGGCTGCGCGACGCGATGCTCG